GGTCAACGAAGAAGCACATTAATCAACAGACAAACACTAATGTCATTTCAAGCTAAATTAATATTTTAATAGATGTTACAGAAAAAAGCAGGTTTACAGCTTTACAGTTAATGTAGAGTATGGAGTTTGTGGATTTGAAATGCATGAACTGATAAGACACAATAAGTGAGATGATGTACTGTCAGCCTCTCAGGCTTTATTTTTTGACTAGCTGTTGTATGACATGGTTAATGTAAGCTCATAACAGTATGCTGATCAATTATTATCCATCTGATCTTCTTGCTGTTCTTGTTGTCGGCCTCTAACACCTGAAAGAAAAGCCAAACTCAGATAAGCCAGCACTAACATCACAGAGATCTTCCAAACAGCTGTGATCCGAGTGTTTGATTTTGTTCACATCACCTTAATCGCAGCAGAACATGCGCACGTCATTGAGAGCGGTGTCGTCTCCTCGTCCTTGTGGCTCTTCTATCTGCGTCTTGATACCACAAATCGCTTTTCCTTCACATGTATTACTCCAATCGCCCCAATCACCCCAGCGTGTGCCGTCACCCTGCAGTAAAGGCCCTCCACTGCATTTGAACCTGGAAGAAGTTTGGGTGTAAAAACATAATAAAATGTTGTTTCAATCAGTACTAACAAAACAAGGCAAAACGAACTCTTGGAACTTGCCATTTGACTTGCACCTAAAAATTTTTTTAGGTGCCACAGAATAAATGTTTTATTTTTATAATTTTTAACACTTTAACATTTCAGTGTGTTTATGTCTCATCTTTCATGCGTTTATCAGCATTTTAATCCATCTTGTACTTTAGATGTCATGGGAACTAAGGTTCACTTAAAGTGGGAGCTAGGCACGCAACGCTCTCAGATTTTCATGTTGCAATAATTGCTAAAGCTTTATCACGGTATACAGTATTATCACAGTACCACCAATGCCACAACCAGATCTGCTTTTAGCAAGTGCACCGTTAGCGCTGGTGTTTTTTTCCACCAAAACTTTGATGTGCATTGTCTATTTATTACATCAACATAACAAATTATGTGATCGTAAAAAAAGCAGGGAAAAAAGGCATTACATGCAAATTTTTAAATCATAACATGTACAGTTTTTATAGTCGCCAGTGGTTACTTCAGCAAAAAAATTACTCACAAATTAATATTATTAGTTGCAAATGCGACCATTTTAGTCGCAGTCTGGAGCCCTGCAATCAGTTCCAGTAAGATTTGGGGATGATAGTTAAGCATAATAATGAGTGATTCACAAGCAATTTGTAAAAGACCAGTCATTTTAGAGCACCAAATTAGATTAAAGGATTTTTAGCACAGCAGAAACTCACATGATGTTGTTTGCGGCCGTGTCGTCACCATCTCCTTGAGATTTCTCGACTCTCAGCTGAAAAGCAGTCAAGAATCCAGAAGGACACCATTTGATATCAGTCCACCGACCCCAGCTGAAGAAAAAACACAGTTTTATTGATCAAACCAATCATTATTTTTAAGAAAATGAATTTGTCTAGCTTATGAAAAAACTGCCTCTGTATCTTAATGTAACAATTCTTAATAACTGCAAACCTGCTACATTATTACTCTTTAGACTCTTTAGCCCATTACCTGCCTACATCTGACTGAACTGAGGCGTAGCTGTGATACGAGTTTGATGAGCCTTTAGACGGATCAACACAGTGAAGACGAATCCCGTTGAGTGCAGTGTCATCTCCTTGAATAGGATCTTCAACCTTAAAAACAAAACAAAAAAAACCACAACACTAAGACATAAGAAAGAGAAAAGGAGTAATCTTAACTCCAAACCTCTAGTGTTCCTGGAGGTCCACCAACATCACACATTTTGGATGTCTACTAAAGAGGTGTTCAGTTGAATCAAAAACATTTACTGTTAGCGTATCTTCAGGAACAGAGCTGGGAATCCCTGGACTAACCCAATCCATAGTAACATTCAACTTGGTTTCTTTAGTATGAATCAAAGCAGTCAAACTCGAGCAGGTGCAGTTTCCTTAGAAATACCTGGAACTGAATCAGTAAACGCAACTCCAGAGTTAATTTTTTGTCTAAGGATTTGAATTCAACCCTCAGTCACCAGTTTACACTTTCAAGCAAACACTAAGACATAAGAAAGAGAAAAGGAGTAATCTTAACTCCAAACCTGTAGTGTTCCTGGAAGTACACCATCACACATTTTGGATGTCTACTAAAGAGGTGTTCAGTTGAATCAAAAACATTTACTGTTAGCGTATCTTCAGGAACAGAGCTGGGAATCCCTGGACTAACCCAATCCATAGTAACATTCAACTTGGTTTCTTTAGTATGAATCAAAGCAGTCAAACTCGAGCAGGTGCAGTTTCCTTAGAAATACCTGGAACTGAATCAGTAAACGCAACTCCAGAGTTCATTTTTTGTCTAAGGATTTGAACCTTCAACCCTCAGTCACCGGCTTACACTTTCAAGCATTAAACAAACCCCATACTACTGTAATTAAGTCAATTCTTAGCTTACCTTTAGACTGAACCCTGCGGTGTATGTTCCAGTTGGACACATTTCCCTCGGACCCCACGACCCCCATCTCCCTCCATTCGGCACAGTCAGCTCTGATCTGTAACTTCGGTCCATGCTTCGCTCAGAACGTATTCTTGCGGACTCAACACTCACCTGCAGTCCAGTAATGACTAGCAGTGAAAACATCATGGAAATGAACTGATGCATTGCTGCAGCACTGGCCTGATGGATCAAAACACTGATTTAATTCTGTTTGGTTTGTAAAGTAAAACTGAACCAGAGCCAGTAAGACTGCTCTAAGGAACAATTTCTTCAAATCCAGAACAAGAAACCTTTCTGAACTCTCTGTGGCCTGTCAGCAGAATCTGCCTGATTCTTTCACAGCTGGTTCAGAATGCATTTATACAGTTTATCAATACTGTGATATCTGGTTCTAGCCAATCAGCAGCCAGGAGCACAGATGAACACATCAACAACCTGTATGTAAATGAACACACAAAAACACAAACACTGATCCAGCAAAATACCTGTATGCCTATCTTGAGTCTAGAATCCCCACACTTGTAAATAACATATCTGTACATTCATTTAAACAATTACAATTCACAGAGTACAGACTGCGATAGGGCTGCCAACCATTCCGCATTATATAGAATTGTCCTGTATTTAAGGGATCAAAGAAGCATCCCGTATGAAAGCTATACAGAACGCAGTTTGTCCCGTATTCGCAGGCATATGCCGTATGACCACCAGACCATATGAATAACAAATTCTCAGTTGATAATCATTCTTTTTGCAAAAATCATTGTTTTATTTGTGAATGTAGATGTTTGAGGAAGGCTTTAAGAGCAAGCGAAATCCTGCTGCTGCTTCATAGGCTATATGATTGCACTCAAATTGGAGTTAAAAAATTAAAGTGCCATTGTTTAAAAAAACCCTGACGTTTCATAGACCTTCAGTTGTTATGCTTTCGAGTTTATGGCCATTTGTATGCATGTCATTTCACAGTATTTTCACCTCCTAAATTACTACACTACTTGTGCAGTCACAATTCTATAATGGTAGGCTACAATTTACTCAGGCCAATGACTTTTTTTGTATGACATGAAATTATTTTTTAAAATGATTGTACATGAATAGGTTAAGCAAAACAAATGATTATTTCTGAGAACTTTTTAACTGCAG